GTGAGTGCTGTACTGTAGTACTGCCACCCATCGCGGACAACCATATGCTCTCCGCTGTTGTACGGGTTTGATGGCACTCTCCACCACCTCTCTTGAGGGCTTGGTCAAAAGACAGAAAAAAGAAAATACGAAGTACTTGTTGTAGTCTAAGGAATAAGAAAATCGGGAGGATGCGACAGTCCAACGAAAGAAGAAATGCCATTTACGAAATGGACGACTTGGGCCGGTACTTCGACCCAAAAGAAGGGATTGGTGAGGCTCGAACCGATTTTGACGTTTCTTAACTTCGGGCGCTATTGTAGGATCGAACGTCCTCCAAGCACGAGGTAACCTCGCCCTCGGTGAGGGACGAGGTTATGCACGACTCTTTTTTTGGCGGCATGAGATGGACCGCCGGTAGATGGGAGGAATCTATCCATACCAACACCCAGTTACAGCTGTAGCAGACCGCTCGCTACTTCTGCTGTCTGTGCGTCGCTGCTTCTGCACTCACTGTGGTGCGTGGTTCGTGCAAAGAGCGGCCCGCAGGGTCGCAGGACATACAAAAAGGGGAGTACACGGCAGAAAAATGGGGGCACCCCATCGTCGTATATTCTGCCGGGCCCCCGGTGCTCTGCAAAACAAATTTCCTTTGAGCGGGGATTTTCCTTAACGCGAGCGTCCTTAAAGCGGGGTCGACTGTAAAGTCGTCTCTGGATCTACCAAGGCACAGAACCAGACCTTAGACCTCACCTTGTTCGTGTTGCACAAGAATGTGCCGAAGCGACAGCTCTGGATATGATCTGCGATGCACAGCAGGAACCTGGCCGCAATCAACAATCGCCACCAAGAAGAACGAGGGACGTCGTCGAGATAAACGCACCACTAGAGCAGCGCCAGGAATGAAGTACACGCGAACAAAACGATTCACACCAGGAATCCAAACTTGCGTGATGTTCACGACTTCCGTCTCTGAGCAGAAGCGCAATCTGTTGAGTTGGGACTGGCGAAAGCGTGCATTGCTGTGTCCACAACACACACAACACACACTCGAGCTCCCGTGTCGAAGGATAAAATAACCCACGACGTGCAAACGTGAGTGCCAGGCAAATACATAAAGCGAGCGTCACCCAGCAGACGGGTCGAGTATCGCCAGCGGAAACATCCGACCTACATTATATACCTCGGGTTAAACTCAAAGTACGAGGGCAGCTGCATGACAAGTTGCCACGTGCAGTCCAAGAACTGCAGAAAGATGGGGCTGCGTTGATCTTCCTTGCCCGACGTCAATCCCCTCGGCATCCCGTACGCATGCCGAAGGTGGAAAGGGTGTCCGAACGCCAACCAGTCCTTCTCGATCAGCACCTAATATATGAAACAGTTATTCGCGGACGCGCGTATACAGCGAGGAGGGTGCTAGACCTTGATACGCGACCCTTGCCACCCTTCCGAACCTTGGCCGCACATCGCCAGCCAGCTACGACAACCAGCAGACGCCACCTTCCCTTTAAACTGGAAAATAGACGTAGCACCCACGGGTACTTCAGCGAATCCCATGTTCCGTGAAAGTAGAACACACGTGTGGTGCACTCATGTCCGTGATTCCAAGGCTGGCTGGTGGCTCTGCGGGATAAATCTTCACGAAGGAGGGGAGACAACACCGCACGAACAACACACCCTTAAGTAGGAGCTCCATGTCATGAACAGAGTGTTCGCCTCGAGCAAATTGTGCGTGTGTACAAGGAGACAAACCTGAAAGCCGTCGATTGTTCGGTAGTACGGGTCGAGCAGCATCTGGGCCAAGGAGCAGACCTGCAAGATCGACACGAGCGATAAGAACGGCAAACCAAGAGGTAGGGAGGGACAAGGGTCGACTCGATCTACGTCCGTTTACGAGCTGTGCGTCTGCGTCCCCGTGCGATCGCAGTCACAGCTTTGACATTGAGAACCGCCGCTGAGAACGATTTTTAAGACTAAGGGATCACCTGAGAAGTCCGGTCCCAGCCATGACTGCAGTGCACCAAAACGGGGCTCCTTTGTGTGTGCGCCTTAGAGGCCACGGTCCATGCCGACGACAGAACGGTGCGCACGTGAGAGAGCCACCTTAAAGCACGCACCATGCACCGCGACGACACAAGGACAACGACAGACCACAACGTAGAAAATGTACACGTCAGAATGTAGCGCTGGGATGGCGCCATGCAAAGCATTTTCCAAGCTAGACTAGTGTATTTCCGAAGCTTCGCCGTCAGTGAGTGGTTGTGCGCGTGCTTGTCTTCACCATATCTGCTTCTCTGCACAACATCAGAACACACCTTGCCGTACATCTCGTGCGCATCCAATGCTACCTTTGTGCGCCAGTTCAAGAAGCACCCGTTCTTTCTGGAGGCCCTTGCACCAAGCCATGCAATGGCCGACGCTTCGAAGTCCGACCATATTCCCACGCATAACTTACCGCTCCCTGCTCCCAACAAATCACCACAAGCAAAATACACATTTGCCTTACAACGTACACGACAGAATACAGGGCTCGGCGTAGGTACTCTTCTCGCCTACATACCTTGTATCCTCAACCACCGCCATCCACTCTTGGTCCTTGGCCGTGCCACCTAGACAAAGCCCCTCCAGTTTTGCGAGGCTTTCTCGCATCACCTGGAAAATAAAAAACTACGGCTGTGCTCGGGTGTTCTCCGAAGGACCATTTGCGCAAACCTATTTCCTCTAAATGGCTATAGCATGCTGTGATAGCTGGGTGAATCACCCAAGCGATGTTGGGCATAGCCACCACAAGCATGACGTTACCGTAAACACTAGTACCTGGTATATGAGGCAGTCGTCACTATGCGGTGCCTGGTATTGTATCGGTGCACCTTATACACATCTCGAGAGCAACTTGCTCTCACCTCCACGGACCACAACCTTGGGTGTTTCTTACACCCATACGACCAGGGGCACGCTGTCAAAACTCAAAGCTAACATGAGTCGTTCACAAGTCGAACACGTTTCCACACTGGTACTCACGTGAATGTTACCAATACCCGCGAACTCCAGCGGGCAGTCCGGGTAGCTCTCGTAGCCGTAGCCTGCAAGGAGCAACACCATTCCACGCCACCAGCGCGAAACAAAACATTTTCAGAAGCAACCAAGTTGCACTGGTCATTTTGAAGCGCATGACTACACAAAAGTAAGAGCAAGGAAGAGGGTCCACGTGCTAGGGTTCCACGGCGAGAAACTCCACTGTACATGACGTCGCACTATTCGTCAGCAAGGCGCCACATATTGCCAAGACAGCACACAAACAACACAGCCAACAGCCATCCTGAAGAGTATCCACGACGATCAAACGACATGAGCCAAACCAACCTGCCGCGAAGTTGGCGGTGGCAGTCGAGCGTGGCCGACAGTCTACGATCGGGAGCATGCGAGTCGGCGAGCAAGCCGCCACGCTTGCGAGCATATGCTCGTCCTCGGCACAAGCCGCACGCGAGATTCCGATCTGAGAAAGACGACAAGAGTTCGAAAACCGTGCGGATCCGTACACATTTGTAAACCTCATTGTGATCACCGTCACAAAGGACGAGAACCCCGAGCTTAATCGTAAATTGTGACGACAGCAAGGTTACACGCAAAATTACACAACATGCACCGTAACAGTTAGTAAATAGTAGCACGGGCAGCGTGTAAGCAAAATCTTAACCGAGGAAGGGAAGCATGCTTACAATAGGGGCACCACAAGTCGTGAAATTTCAGTTTGTAGAGCAGAGAAAGGTGCACGTAAACATGATTGCTCGAGGAAATTGTTAGTCGCCAGACCAGAAAGTGACGAAGTTTTACTCGAGAACTCGAGGGTTACTTCGTAAAAGAGGTTCACAGTACATAAGAGGAATGCAAATGTTCATATTGCGGCTCTTCGAATGCTGGATGGATGCACACGGGCCAGCATATGCTGCAGCTGCAGCGCCTTCAACTTGAAACAGACACATCAAAAGGAAAGCTGTTATAGGAATATAGGAAAGCGACATGGATCGACACTTGCTTCAACAAATATTGGGGTACATGACCACACACACCAACCTTAGGTTGGCTGGACCTCCATATCGAAGCAGCATCTGCTTGCCGCCCCCAGCACAAGACAGGCACGCGCTGCTCTGATCGGAAGTAGGACACGGCCTTAATTTCGTCGTCCGTTATGGAGGCCGGGACGACCAGAACAGATGGGTACGATCCACACAACTCGTAGTTGGCGTTCAACTGGGTTTCCCTGGTGACATCCAGAAGGCCATCCATGCAGAGGGAAAGGCGGGAGGTACGAGAAAATCCCATCAGCAACCATACCCACCCCGAGGAGCCGCCTTCCGTCTATCACAAAACATTGTGTTCTACATTGTTCCATATTTTCGATTGTCAGTCCTGAATGAGGATCATGGAACCAAGTACACCTGTACTATTCGAACCTCCCGCTCTTCCCGAGTGCTGCCCGACCTTCCTCGGCCTGCTCACAACCATGACTTGCCACACCACACACACGACACCACATAGGCACTCTCGGCAAAATTAGTTCACCGGCGCCAAGTACCATATACCAGCAGCACAGCAATTCGCACATAATAACTTGCGGGAAGGTCCGGCTGTGTCCTGGGGAAGATGCCTCCAAAACGTTTCTGCCTGCCCAGAGCGCTTTTTCGTGCGTTTGTGTTTCTGCAGTCTTGGCTGTGGCCTGTGTCTTAAAACCCTGCGTTGATTCCTATGTCATACTTTTCGACTAGTCAAGCAGGGCCCCCACCAACTGTTTCTCTTGAGCTTTATGCTTTGCTGTCGCCGTTACCGTCGCCCAGCTACCCAAATCTCTTGAATACCATCTCTTCGTCGTCTAGTGTGCCAGTTGGTTACGCCAAACAACCACTTAGAAGAAGAAGTGAACATCGCCCTTCGCTTTCGCTGGAGACGCAGTGGTCGTGTTCCTGGGTGAACTCATCAGTTTGACCGATGTTTCACGCCCTTAGTTCAGCAGTAGCATGCCTAGCAGCGGCAAAATCCTCCATACGTCACCAAGTAGTGCTATCCATCTATCCCCGCTCGCTCACCTCCAAGGGCTAACACCCTTGTTGCGCCGAGGCTTCAACACACCCATCCTGTCCAACTCCTTGCCAGCATCATAGATGTGCCACCCTGGGTCCGGCGCCCTGGGCTTCACAGTGTTGCGGCTGAACGCAAACAGATCTTTCATCTTGAGACAGGGAGACAGACACACGGACCAGAAGGGAAGGAAAAACACACGCAGGTAAGCACGTTTGCCCTCATCTCATTGGCAAAAAAAACGAGACTTGGTGGCACGCGTCTTGCGGCGTTTCCGGGAACATTCTAGCGGCTCGTCCAGAAACAAATCTTGCCCACGAACGCGCGAACATTCCAGATGCATGCGGGGCAGTTAGTCTGCTGTGCTCCACGGCACCACAATAATGCACTATCGGATCTGAACACCGCATGACTGCAAAGTACTCCAACAACACAAGACAACCCTGATATACCTTTTGCCCTGGGAAGGCCAGGCTGTGAAGCATTTTCATCGCTCGTTCAGACTCGTCATTTCCTCCAAAGGATACGCGTATTCTTCTCGCATCCTGAAATAACCGAGGGCACGGTGCGATGTGTCGCGTGTCACGTGTCACGTGTGATGCAGTGAACAACACCAGGAACCCTTTCCGGTCCTTACCACGAAACATACATCTTACATGTGTCTGGCAGCTAGACCCCCTGATGGGCAATGTCGAGACCCTTATGGGAGACTTCACGAGACACGCAAACATCTCTCTGGGAAACCAACGACTACGTGACTAGGGGGCAACGCTACGTGACTTGGGGGAACAGCTAAAGCGACGAATATTTTGTCCAAACAGGCCTTTGAGTCGAGAGTTCTGCGCGAGCCAAGCAATAAAGCGCAGCTGCACCAAATACCACATGCACGCCCACAGCCAACCGGGCGACGACACCAATGCGGGCCGGGAACCAACACGACAAGTGCGTCGCAGCTGACCTTGCAGTGTATGGTGGCAGCCACATCAGTGCTGAAGTACCTATCCGCCCTGGGAGCTCCCTTCCGATCAGCATCGCGCTCGATCCTGTCTATGTACGTCATCGGGACCTGGATTGGACGCCACAGTTTACAGACGAACTCTAGCATATTGGCATACGCGAAACAATCACTTGTTGATGAAAACAAGCGGTGAACTACCGTAAGCTTGCGATAAATGACATCAACCTCCCTCGTCGGGTAACACATTATCGACTGACACGATAATCATGCCGGATCACGTACGGCACCCAGATCTCAATAACAAAAACCCATTTCCCCGGTCATGATGGCAGCATCGCTCCTTGCTCTCAAAAATTCGGAACCCTCTCGGAAAGTCCTTACTTTCGCACCTGGATGTACTCCTTCGGCAGGTGTCCAAACGGAAGATACCGCTCGTCTGTACCAGTACTCGCCATCGACCCTTTGCTAACGCTGGTAGAGTTCGCTCCCCTCTGCGTGCTATGGGGAATGATCACGAGCTTGTACGTGGTCATTATGAGCATTCCAGGCACCATCTGTGCAAGGCGAACGACGGAGTCGGTATCGGCAAAATGAAATGAATACACAAGATGCAAGACAAGTGCGAAAACATCGCCAGCTTGGATAAAAACCGGGTAAAAGTAACATGAATTAGAAACAAGATGAATAGGCTGGAACAAGCTCTGTGAAGGTGCCGTGACAGGCCTAACACGAAAGCCGTTCATTGTGCTACTTTCCACACACGTGCACTACAACCACTAACTGGAAGAACCAGTTGGCCGAGAAGAGTTTGGCAAGCGTTACGTTCTCGATATGTTGTGGGAATGCAGGAGAGAGAGAGACGTGTTCGCGAAAACCACCCGGTCGAAAAAGCAAGCGCATCAGCAAGGGCGGAAAATCATGCTTCCGACACACCTTCCCGTGAAGAGCCTCACAGCTTGCGTTCTGCAGCTTGACGACGAGCAACTCGTTCTCGAGGCACTCGATTCCTTCGTTCTTCATCATCTGATGTTGTGCGACGCGGACGGTTTAGGAGGAGGTTGCAAAAAACAAATCAACACAGAACCGTAGCTGAGTTATGCACAGCAGTGCGCTTTTCCATTGCGCTACCGACAATTGCAATGTCAGATGCAACGCTAGGAGCTATGGTACACCACAATCACTGAAAGATGTACTGCTGGAGATACAAAAGGTAGGGTGCTGGCTGCCACTACTGATCCATACCTGGTACATAAGTGGGTGGGCGACCCAACCTTCACCAGATGCAGTAAGCTTCGCCCTATTGACACCCTTTCCCTGGAGTTCTGTACGAAGCAACTTTGCTTCAGCGAAGTTCGAACAAAATACTTGAGCGCAGTATTCTGCCATCGTTCCACGTTTACAACATGGTATCCCGGCGTGCATGATTGCTGTTTCCATCACGAGGGATCAATCGAATCGACCCCCAAAATGTCATGTGTCATATGTCATGCATGTCCCACCTCCAACTGGGTGACCTTCTCCGCCGCTGCTTCTGGACGAGCTACCACATCCTCGTAGATGGGTGTGTCCCTCTTCTGAACCCCGTCTGTCTTGAAATGGTTCCCCTGCGAGCCGCCACCAAGCGCCTGTCGACAATAGACAGACAACAGGATCGAAAGCTTTGGTTCTCATTTCGCGTTTGGCAACAGACAACAGCGCACCGCGCTCTCGCAATCCGTAAAAAAATGATACGCGTCGTCTCTTAATTCCCACAACCGCTCGGTGTAGGTTTGCCAAAACGAGACAACAGACCCTTGACGGTACACAGCGTGCGAGCAGAGGTGCCGAGGCCACGCACCAAGTCCTCAAGCTAATACTTTCACAAAGATTGTATCGTACTCAATACCAGGTAGCACCAGGGCTTTGCATACCACCTAGAGTTACTCACTCCGAGCTGACGCGGTGGGGTCGCCATTAACGAAGACATGCGTTGAGCCGGTCTGCGATTTGATGGTGTGATGGGGGGCGCAAGGCCCCCTGGCGCTGTGCCTGCGATAGAAAAACCTGCTTTCCCCGTTGTTTCCACCACGGGCTGAGAGTTGGACGTGGGGCGAAGGCACACACGACCGTCAATGAACGGGATCACTCAAAACAAGCAAAAGTTGGCGAACAAACAGTATGTGTAGCCCACGAGCCTCAACGTTCGTTCACAATTTGTTCTGCGAGCAAACCGCTCCAACTTTAACAGCACTCCGTCGTTGGATTACCCGCTGTTGATCGACAAAAACCCCTTCCCGCTGCGGTACAGCAATGCATGCTCTTGAATCGTGGTACCATGCATATGCGTGACTAAAATATCATGGCAGACGCCAGTGTGACACACATGAATGCTAGAGTCTCCTCCAAATTCGAAGGTCAACGTCTATCCGCAAGTCCTCATGTTTCACTTGCACATCACGCTCCCCAGAGGTGTATCATTCTCTCACCGCTGGCATCGTGGAAGGGGTGGTTTGGCGCGTTTTTTCGTGCCGATCAGGGATGAACAAAACGCATGTTCCGCGGCTTTCGCCAAACAATAATTAGTCCGCTACCGCAGTGTAATACGCACGCATCGCAGGGTTGGGTGAGGAGCGGGAGTGAATACTTCTTTCTTAATACAGTACGATGTATTCTGTTAGGCGATCGCGACAATGTTAACTCCAACGTTCATAAGACGCACAGGTTCACCAGCCTATCCCAACGGTTAACAATAGATCGCGTGTATCGCGTACCAATCTTTTGACAGCACCAGAGCTCAGGACCGTACCCATGGGCGCGTGTCTACTGCTGCTGAGAACTTGTCTTACAAGGACATAGGGACACTAGGAAATACACGCACACAAACACGCACGTACCCTCGGTGGCCCTGGAAGACTCGGCTCAGCGTTAAGCCAGCCCCTACTCTCCCTCGGCCGCTGCACCGATGCAGGAGGCGACGCACTCTGTTGCCTGCCTCTCCTGCTGGCGCCTCGTGTTGCGCCGCTGCTGATTCCAGCAGCCCTTCCGCTCGAGCCAGACTCCGTTCCTCCCGATGTACTAACGCCCTCGGTGCCAGGTCCCATGAGCGCAAACGCCGACAAAGGGTCCAAATCTACCGCCACGCCCCCATCGCTCTTTGCTCCACTCCCACCCCCGCCCACAGGGCCAAGCTTGCTTCGGTGAAGCGCCATGTTCTTGTAGGTGAGAATTAGTAATGAGGATATACGACACCAACTCTCTTTCACTTGCAAAAAACCGGCTTGCAAAACTCCTCCTTTTCCAAAAATGCTTAAATTTCTCCTGTTCACTCACTCTACTTCCTTGACCTCGCTCTTGCTCCCTCCCCTCCCCATCGACGGGGTTGGTGTATGAGGTGTATGTCTGAGGTGTTGGGACATGATGACACGTCGACGATCGGCACGATTGCCCCTGGGGGCTCCGTCAATCAATCGACTATCCCTATCCGTACACAGTAACACCTACGGTGGATCCCCCGATGATATGCATATGTCTAGACTATATGTTTATTCATTTGGAGCTATGGTATACCATAGATTTGGAGAGAAGATGTACATTCAGTATGTACCTCCTACCGTGCCCACGATTGTACGGACAGTGGTCGTGGTGGTTAAAAGGTGTGGATATTCACTGTGCTATGACTCTCTCAAGCCCCAGTTTGTTACCTGTTGAATCCGCTTTGTGCCAAAATGGCGAGAAATTTTGAGAACTTCATGATGATGAGATGACAAAACAAAACTAAAGGGTGATCCCTTTGGCTGTCGGAGTGGGCTCATGAGGGCACATCATCAAGGTGTGATGCAACATGAAAATATAGGAGGCAGCGGGTCCAACCCATAATTGACAGGCCGTTGTTGCGGTATGACGTTTCCCAAGGCTCAAGAGCTCAGACAGCTGGTGTTTTTTTCTCGAACAGCCCACCCAGCGAACCTCAATGAACCCAGAAGAAATATTTAGGGCAATTGACAGAAAATGGGGTGCTACCCCGCGTGTTTAGGCACAATCTGTACCTAGAGTAAAGGACACCCCATATGAAGGGAAACTTTTTTCAAAAACCATATCTTGCCGCTCAGCCCGCGGAAAGCTGTTCTATTTTTTTATTGTGTTGCTGTGGAGCTCATCTTGCATTTAAGGTCAAGTTTACTCAATTTGGTTATGAACTTCGTTCTAAAACATTCGGCCCAAGATGATGTAGAATCTTGTCATTTTTCTGCCCACGTGGTGGCTGCCGCTAAGCCCTACAATCGATCTAATATCTAGTTTTTCTCGAACAGAATTGATGATGTAGTCTGATGGTGCAGAGGCCCATACGGCACTTCATTGTTGTAGGTTCGACTTTCTGTCCTACCGATCTATTTCGTACCTAGTTTTTTTTCGCTTCTTCTTCTTTTCCTAGCTCGATTTCGGGCGAGAAAGGGGCCAAAAATAGCGTCTGGATGTCATACAGACGAAACCAACTCCGATGGCACCAAAACTTTGCATAACGTCTGTTCTAGGGATGCTTGCCACGACACTGAACGAAAAACGAGAAAGAAAACGCTCCCAACCTCTTTTTTCGACGCCTAAAGTGGGCCTAATTCGGCCCAAAAACAGGCCCAAAAAACAAGGGGATTCCTCGTTTCTGTCCCCGTATATTGGCGGGTTTTTGTCTTTCTTTCCCAATGGCTTGGTATTACCATCGCCACGGTGCGTGCCAAAGGACAAGTTTTGAAATGCAGTAGAACGTGAGAAATCACTACTAATGCAAAGTGTCCCTTAATTGGCGTCGGGGGTGTTATCCTCCGTTTTACGGAAAACTTCAGGTACACTGCAACAGCCATAACTCATCAACATTTGGGTGTTTTTTCTTTCTTTGTTTTGTGAGAGGTAGCCTATGACATAGGCTACCGCTGGATACTTTCATACACTTCAAATTCGTTCTCACACCCGAGAACGAGCTGTTGGCGTGGAAGCGGCTTAGGTGTCCCTTAATACCCATTTTACTCTATACAGCAGTTTAAAAGAGCATTTGGACCCCACAACTGACTGAACCTGAACCTGTGTTCTCTGTTGGTTTCCTCGCAGAGGAAGTACACTGCCAGGGTCTAAAGCAAGGCAATTGAAGTGCACCTTGGTTAGGATGACGTGCCCAATCCCAAAACAACGGCCGCATGAAGCACTGGACGCGTCAGCGATAAAACATGTGACGGCGTAGCTAGTGCGTTGACAGATCCGAAACATCAAATTTGAGTATCAGTTTGATCTCTCGTCGCTACCAGTACAGACTACGAGTACAAGTATTGTAGAACGCACTCAGGACCCACAGCTGACTCGGATACTTCTCAACAACTCTCAGTCTTTTCTTTTTTTACAATACTTTCGCCCGTAGGTTTCTCGATTCATTTTCTTCGCTGCGGGCGTTAACTCTGTGAAGCTTCTGGATACAACGAACGGGCGACAGAAGCCGCAAACGCTGGGAAGCAGAGATAATCTTTCACGATCACCACATGTGATGAACGTACGAACGTGCCGCTGGCGATACACCGGAAACAAGCTATGTTCCTATCTGTTGTACCGTCCTCCCCGCGGGTCCCGCGGCTTGATCTCTGCTTTTGGGTTGACGGCCGTGCCCCAGCCGCCCTGTGATTGCGGCGGCTGTAGCATTGGCATCTGTTGTTGTTGTTGCTGCTGCTGGTGCGGCTGCTGCTGTAGTTGCTGCGGTGGTGGTGGTGGTGGTGGCCGGAGGGTCATGACCTGACAAAGCGGTGCAGGAGAAAGCTTGAATCTTGACGAGTGATGTGACAAGCGGGTTACGAGAAAACGGCAAGGCCACCAGATGCACATACCGCCGTTTTGCTTCTTGTTGCGCAGCAATTGGTGTGCTTCGAGACACGATCCCAGTGGACAAGACAAAAGGACAGAAGCCAGCGTAGAGAAAAACGCTTAAGCACCGTAAAACAGGATCAACACAGGAATCTGTACGTTTCGTCACTTGTAGACGCAGCGCTTTTGACATCGATTTAGCAGCCATCCATATGGCGTACCTGCTGCGTCTGGATTGGGTGTTGCGCTGCCTGACCCCACCCCAAAGTTGGATTAGTTGGTGGCTGCTGAAACTGCCCAGGAGGCTGACGAGTGGAAGTGAGACAGGCACATGAAGGGACAGTAGATGGGAGCAACAGTCGAGACCACGATCGTCAAGCGTTACGGCTGCAGGACAAGATAACAATAAATCGCCACACCTTAAAACGAAGGCCAAAAACGTTTCGACGATCTGATTCTTCTCCCAGGAAATATCCCAAAGGTCCAGGGGGCCTGGGGTCAGAACATGTATGCATACGCCATATAGCATCTCCGAAAGCAAGAAACATCTTCAACTACGGGCACCATTGCATCAACAGCAGCACTTCCGCCTCACTTACAGGAACGAGTTGAGGCAGGATCGCACCGGTCCCAAGCATGATAGCCCCCGGCTTTTTCTTGCTGGTAAACCAAGGGGGGAGGAGAAATCAAGCAGGTGGTCAGGAACAGAGACAATACCACGTGGCTTCTAGGGATGGCGGCGGTGTGGGGTAGGGCATCGCAAATGATATGGAGAATTAAAACCGGACGAGCGCGCTCAACGAGCAGCGGCTTCTAAGTGTGGGTTCGGACAGGAGGGCAGCAAAAGGGGGGAAACTGTTGACCAAATACTGTGGCTACTGTGATTGATTGTGACTGAACTTACGTGACATCCTCCTCGGCTTTAACAAACAACGACGGCACATCCTCGGCCTTGAACATTCCTAATCGCACTTGCATGTGGAGTAATGCTTCGGCGACCTGTGATAAAGAAGGATGAAGGGCAGAGGTGGGTAGCTTTGAGGGGCGGGTTGGAAGATATACGGTGAACAGAAAAATATGCGACAGTCGAATACGTCGTTGCATAAGCTTTCCATACTCTACCCTGCCCTTCGTACTCCAGACGACTCCTACCTCGACAGACATCTCTTTTTGAGAGCTCTTGAACGTACATGCTGCACGTCGTTGAAGCAACACAAAGCGGAAAAGCCCATACATTGGGGGTATCGTAATGGCGCCCATCACATCTTGATAGCGCAGGCCACCGACAACATCGACGCAGAGCCGAGGGACACTTGAGGATTACACATGTGGGGGGAATAATGACACTACGGGGAGTATCTTCACCTGAGGGTGGCTGACAAACATCTGTTTCGCCTTATCGGGCTCCTTCTCCACAAGCTGCTTCATGTTGGACACGATGTCCCAAACCTCGTAAATCCCCATCTGCATCACCACTCCTTTCACCGTCCTCTCCTGCAAGTTAAGAAAAAAAAGAATGTCAAAATGACAAGCATGTGAGATTAGATGGTCCACCTTGCCCCAAACGTATGGGAGCAAAAAAAAAAAATCACGAACCACACATGCAGCAGGTAACCGAAGAACATTCATGGCAACAGCCAACCTCCATCGTTGTCAGCGCACAATGAACCGAGAAGCTCGAATACGATCACCTGCTGAGGCGCCTTTTCCCCGCGCTGTTGCTCAGCACCCAACGAGCTGTTGTTCGAGAAGTTCACTCGAAGCTGGCCGTGTTTGCGAATGGACGTACAATTCAGGGGCGGATGGCGGATGAGCTCAGTTGCAATGCACCAACGGAGAGGTATGCCAAGTCACGACTGAAAGTCTGGCGTATAGCTGGTGAGCTACGGGATCTTCCAAGCTATGTTACATCGATCGCAATGGTGGCTTCAGGGAAAAATGATTCCGATGACGATTCCCGACAAAGATTGTTGCCGTGGTGTCGAAATACCACCTATAATTCTTGATCACCGCACCAGCCTGCCGTTGCAATCGTAGCCATTGAGGTTTCTGATGGCGCTGAGGGCCGTAGCGGCATCTTCGTACTCCACGAACGCGAAACCTGAGAGAGGCAGTTTGGGGTGCAGACCCGTGACGGCTCGGTAAGTGACTCTCGTGACTCCTACTTACCACTGTGACGTACGCACCGCAATCCAGGAGACACAGGTGAGTTACAACGGAAGCAGCGCAGCTTGAGGTCACAAAGCATGTACTGTTTCTTGGTTATTTCTTTGGTGGTTCGCAAGATGGGCGAGTCCACAGCAGTCGTGCACGACAGTAGTACCAGAAATTCCAACATGCGTCTTGCAATCTCTTCTCCAACATCCCGTAAGCAGCAGTGACAACACTACCCTACACAGAAAACGCATTGCCGGGACACGATGCGAAAATAGTTGCGGGCATATTCTTCGGCTACTACATGGGGTGACGCCGCCACGAGTGCCACACACTACTGTAGGCTGCAAGCAAAAATGTGTGTGTATCCTGTTCCTAATGCGGTCCCGCGTACCCTCCTACACCCCCAAAATGGTCACCTTTCGGCTTGCCCGTCTCGAAGTCCGATACCAGACGGATGCTCACAATGCCGCCAGCTTCCTGCAACAGACATTTGAAACACGTGCACGTGAGAACAAGCCCAGAAGGGCAGGGTTGTTTGGTGAAGGACATCCAACACATTTTATTCTACTCAAAGCTCTGCTTCAAGGGAAACGGGCTCTCTCTTCATGCAAGAGATATCGTGACAACGCTGGGTCCAAGGCATACAAGGTCGACGCCCGGTAGACAAAGAACATGGAACCGCGCGTGGTGGTTTTAAACTTGGTTTGGATCCAGCTTTACGCAGGTTTGAACCCGGCTGGGACCATGGCTTTTCGATATCCCAGCCTCAGTCACAGAAACAGATCTACATAACTGTGCATTCCAACGAGCATGGTTCTTCTTCATGATGCCTCTACTGACGTATTCCTGTATATGGTAGTCTATTGCTGTATGAATATGTCAGGTCGGGACTCCCTGAGCATATAGTAGTTTTTCGATTTTCATGTTTCGGCTTCTATACATGTTGGATTCGAAAACGAGAGTCCTTCCCGTATGGTATGCTAGAAGTACATCATCATCAGGAGAGGGAGGGCATCACGGAGCAGCGACGTGCACGCTGGCAGCGCTGGACGGGTCTATAGGGGTTGTGTGACACTGAAGGTTGCAGCTGGGTCCAAAACCCCCTTAAACCTGGACCCAAACTAAACATTGGCAACTGCTGTATGCATACTCGCTGCCACGAGACTCAACTGCGGGTCTCCCATGGAAGCTGGTGGGACGAGCTACAGTGCTGCGGTAGGCTCGTATTTAGTTCAGGAGAGGGGTCTGTGGCAAGAGTGCAAAATGAACGGTTAGGACGTTTGGATCCGGAATTGCGGAGTTTTTGCACCGCTGCTGCAGCCTTCGATCCCTCTGTATCGCAATCCCAACAGTAAATCTGACAGTAGCAGTGACCGCACGCACGTCACCATGACATCTCTACTGACTTGCATATGTACTACGCATTTTGAGGTTGGGGGTTCGTAGAACACAAAGTCCCTACCCGAGCCCCCATCGTGTTGTTTTCGTGCTATGAAACTAGACTATAATAGTGCATTTTGTCTTGGTTTGACGGGGAGGTCGGCGGTGGACTCCTGTGATGCAAATATTATCCTGGCTGAGGACCTTCCCGACCACCACGCGTTCCAACTGGGCTTACTAAAGCTCGTGTGCTCGTTGCTTAGACTTGTAGCAAGTTCATATCGGCTGTCCTCAACCCCTCAAGGTGCTCAACTAACCTCAGAACTTGATTTTATCATTTGAACGATTTGGGCACAACACCCTGCATTCAACATCTCATAAGGCTCCACCCATACGTACTGTATAGGACATTGAGGAACTGCTGCTGGTACGGATCGCACGACAAGCAGCGCTGAGCTAAACAGGCAACAGTACTAAACTCGAACGCCATTACATTGTGGTCAGCTTACCGAAAAGATCTCATGTAGTTGCTCTTCAGTAGTCCCGAAAGGAATGTTACCAACTGGAGAGAACAGGCACGCGACAGCGGGCCAGGAGGAGGTCATCAAATCAGTAGCTGATACCAAGCATTCTGATCCATGAGCAACTGCTACACACACAACAGAGTGGCGTAAATGCGTAAATACTTAGATCATCGGGCCGTGCTGCCGTGCTGCCGTGCTACAGCAGTAGTAATCTGATCCTGAAAGCTTACCGAATACATCATTCTTGTCGCGCCGACTATGCTGCATCTTCGATGCTGCTTCTCGCAAGTCCTTCTGGTTGGCTTGCTAGCCTCAACAGAACGGAGAAGTCGTCTGTTGGTTTGTGTCTGCTAGCAGCCTACTTACTCACTGCTGTCGCTGGCGTGTGTGGGTGTGAATACGCGCGCCCGACGGGTGCCCGTTGGTGGCTCCGCCTGGATATTGTAGCGACATGTGGGTTGCCTACAAGGGGGCTCCGTCTTTGGGAAAAATTCCCTCTTCCCAATTATCCAGTCTTGCTGCTTGAAACACACACCTTCCCCAGCGATTGCAGGCCTGCTGCAGGACAAGCATCACCTGGCTAGTGGGACGAGCTCTTGGACTTGCAAGGTACGTTTTGGGAAATTGGCCATTTGTTTTCGAAGGAAACAACGTGCATTCGCTTCCCCGACCAATAGGAACGCCCGAGGTCCCGGCCTTTCCGGGTGCCTCACCTCACTCTTCCCGAGGGAAGACCTGTTTGGCACAACAATTTTGGTTTGCATGGAGGGATGGAAGGAAGAGTTGCCCGTAGGAACCTTTAGCTCAGGTGGCTGGCCACTAGAGACTCCGAGGTCTCGCTCATAGATGGATTGTGGCCGCCGCGGATAGGGTCGGTGGGCATCGTTCTCTCCCCCAAGAGAGAGACAAGACCACCCTGCTGACGACATCGCGGGGTTCGTAATGCTGCTGGGTGGATTCGCATAATTCCGCGGAGGACAGGACAGGACACAGAACGATTTCACTCTCCCCTGCCAAAGGTGGGATACTGCACTTGGCCATGAGGCTCACAGCAGGTCAAGATCACGGTGCTCTCTGGTCTGTGTTGTGTTGTTGTTGCGCTTTTGCGGTCCGGGTCACAAAAAGTCGGATCAGAGGGGCAGGACTCAGGAGGTGAGAGGTTGGAGACTTGCTGTCGCTCCTTCTTCACACAGCATACGCATCTGCTAAGGTGAAACATACCGAAACCTTCCAAGCATTACCCTTTTGCACGGCATTGCTTTGCTGCTTCTTCCACAGGACTGCAGCTTTATCCTTGATTCCCGCTGCAGCGCACACGTCACGGGTGGTGCCTTTCGTCTACTCCGGTCTCACAGCAGTCTGTCTACCACAGAGCTCCCTGGACTTGTAAATAATGCTGAGGCCCATCTTCGAATGATGACACGACCGAGAGCCGAACGTTGCAAATACTTGGACTTAACCAGTGTCAGTTCCCCCACTTCTATATCATACACCTCGCATACTCTCCTTGGTTTTTTCGTAGACTACCGCCCCCAAGAAGTGGTCGAACGTGCAAGAACATGGCATGGGCGGGTAAACCTCGGTTCTCATCGTGCTTCACGGGGGGGGCGGGCGAAAAAAATAAAAAGCTGTGCCGCTCTGATTATACTTCTGCATGTACCTCGTATCATGTGAGCCTGTGGTTAGCAAATAATACTATAATACGTATATACTAAACACCTCTTGCATACAATGTAGCACATCATGTGTACCCCCGGGCACCCGGATGTCAAGTCCCCTCAAGAGTAATTTTTTTCATGTAGAAAAATTCAGGGCTACAGATAGCGCCCGTAGTTCAGAAAAATTATGTTGAGAAATTGAGGCTCAACTTGCAAAGGAAATTAAGTAAGCAAAAGGGGATATGAAACACAGGTCAATCTCGGCAACCATGAAGAAACACCCCGATAAGAAACATGATGGTGCGTTACCCCCAGGACTTCAGAAACAAGGGGTAGCTGGGGAGCATGTACAGTAAGAAACGTCCCACTGCTACTCCTTCCCAACCCCTTACCTAGCTGAGTGCTGTTTTTTTTAAGGGGGGAGAGAGATTGGTATTGCCACACACCGTGAACAACCACATGCTGTCCGCTGTACGGGTTTGATGGCACTACCCACCGCCTCTCTTGAGGGCTTGAAGACGTGGATTGTCCTAAGAGATCAAAAGGCAGAAATGACAAAAGGTGAAGTACTTATAATAGTTTTAAGAAATAAGAGAATGAAGAGTATGCGACAGTCCAAAAAAATAAGAAATGCGTCGTAAGAAAATGGACAACTTCGGTTTGTCCTTCGACCCAAAAATATGGGATTGAGACTCGACCCGATTTCGACGTTTCTTAGCTGCGGGCGCTATCGGTAAACGTGGAGTTCGATGGGATGGTTAATTTGTAAATCGAATGGTCATGGGATGGTAATAGGATGGTAGTGGGATGGTACGAGATTGTGGATCCCATCACGTTTTCCATCCTATCACCATCCCATCGGATAATCGTACCATCCCATCCCATCCACACTCCCGTCATAGTGGCGTATCCCATCCCAGTCACTCTCACCACAAAGCGTATCCCATCCCAGCCAGCCGCACATTTCCCACTACCCACCACCCTGCCTGCGTACCTGTTCTAGTGTACTGCGTCGCCACGTAAAGCCCTCGAAATTTCTGTGGCAAAGCATCATATTCCCGGAGCGCCCACAGCGGCCGCGCTTCTATTTTATGTAGGTATGTAGGGACGGGCCATTGTTCGTCAACAACCCCGGCTATAGTGGTGATGCAAAATTCGGGCTACCTCAGGCAAGTCTACAGCTTGGGACCATCTAAAGGTTGGACGGGATTGTTTTTTGAAATTGTTTTGAGCGCTGAAGGTCAAATTTGGGAGAATCTTCGTGAGTATGCATATTGGAGTACAAACAATATTGGAGGTACTGCTGTAGATGCACTGGGCGGGTTTGCTCGCGATAGGATAGAGTGCTTCTGGAACGACCCTCGGATCTTGTGGCGATCCAACGTTACGCCAACTCCTCAACACCACCTATCTATACCTGTCTAGTCCACTCTAGCGGAGTCTCGATCGAGTTCGTCAACTCCTCCAAAGGTGTATACAAGCGTGAAGGCTGCGAAACGGGCTTGAATCAACAGCTCGATCACTTTTTATTGCACGGCATTTGCCAGGTCCAGAGCAAAACGAACGCGTATCAATATATGTCCGTTTGGAGCGTTAAATGCTTGACGTCTCGTACTGGTTTCATACCACGTAGCCATCTGTGTGGGGAGCACCAGCGGTGACGTTGACAAACATGGCGAGGTTGTGTCATAAGACAACATCATCAGGGCGCGCACGTGGGTTACCATACCACGATTCATGGAGTCCCGTGGTCTATTGTTTTTTGCTTTTGTGGGATCTGCAACTTTGGTGGTACTTAACTAGCCCATCGAGGGTAAGAAATTTGTGTATGAACATATATATATATTTTCTCCCATCCTTTAGCCCATCGAGGGTAAGAAATTTGTGTATGTATATATATATATATTTATTTTTTCTCCCATCATTGGACTCTGTCGTCTGCCCCTCTGGCCCCTATCCTCCACTTCTACCAGCTAGACGACCCAACCGGGGTCACATAGGAGGGGAGGGTGGACACCCTCCTGCGGTTCCTGCCTTGAGATAATTTTATCGCGAGAAGGGTACAGCGATCCCTTCCCTCGTGACTTATGAAGTCGATCAAGTTTGCCAACGAGGTTTGCAGCGCGTCGCTTCCAACGGAGGCCAGGATTTAATTAACGAGGAAAAATTCACTCTGTCGGGACTCGAACCCATGACCTGGCCCTTAGCAGGCTGCGAGGCTACCCACTAGACCACCGGGGCGACCGGTGGTGTATGTGTACCATTGTCTAATAAAAAAACCAGTAAAACTATCCCGGTTTGAAGAAACCTGCGAGAGGAAGAGATGGTTAGATGATAACCCTGGTGGTTGTGTGGCAAATAGTTGTCATTTCCCGCGATTCGCCTCGCCGTCTGGCTCTTTTGTCTTACAACATCTCTCGCCCTCTCCTTCTCACCGGCTCCACCCTCCCGCCAGGCACACCTCCACTCCCGCGTCTCCCCTTTCAAGACGTCGCAGCCCGCGCCCCTCCCCGCGGTAGGCACTGTTTGCTACAAAACAGGTGAATCGCCGCGCGTTTTGCTTCTCAGCCACTTGTTGACAGGTGCGAGGTAGTTCGGCTTGGTAACATCGACTCCACATGTGTTGTGTCGCACGTTGCAATGTAACACGGTGCAGGCTGAAAGCTACCGGAGACCAGACCCTTATTAACGCCAGCGGAGATGGCCTCAAGACGTTGTTCAGCACCCCAGCACCCCCCCCGTAGACTCCACCTCCCCCATGCTATTCGCCTTCTTTTTGCTCGGATGTTGTCAGTCACCGTCGTTCAAATAGTTGGCGCGCAGGCATAAATGAACCTCTTTCGTGAGAAAACCCGTTGCCTATGATCGCTACACCGCGCAGACAGGATCGCGGATGCGCGCAAGCTCAGACTCCAACACACATCTGCGGAAGCCGCGGATGCGATGCTTACGCTTTACCGCCGTGTGTGTGATGTCTCCGCTTGGTGTCTGCCGGAAACAGACATCGGGCACGAGGGGCAGAGGGGATCCGGAGTGGTGCGGGGCTGAGGCGTATGGCGTCTGCAGAACGGAGGCCAGCAGACGCTGTGGGAGATGGTGTGGCGGACTTGACATCTAGAGTAGATGTGAGTACCGCCGCGACTTGACTACGAAGCGAACGGAAGACGCTGTTCTCATCGAAATTGGCCTTGCGCGCTCTTCCCGGTTGGAGTCACCGGTCAGTGTACACGTACGGCCATCCACACTTGTGAAATGGGGAGCACAAAATATCCGTAATGTACGGATACCCGCGAGCATGTGTGTCCATGCCTCCTTGAGGCATCGCGTCCTAAATTCTAATTTCATGCCTGTGAAAGGCACAAATACAATCAAACTATTTTTGTATCAGCTTTGTTTGGTGTTCCCTAGCTAGTTTGTAATTGACATTATACATGCAAGCACAGAAGGCATGTTTGTTCGGGACACTATCCAAAGGGAGGATGTGTTGCAGCCTCTCTATAGGATTGAATCACACGTGCTGGATACTGGACTTATTTGAGCGTGTTGAAGCCTGTTCACAGGCGTTTGATTGAAAAACACGTGTATCATTTTAGGGCTTGTCCTGGATTTTTTCTGGGTCAGCACATATTGTTTGGTTTAGGTTCCACTAAAACACCTTATTCGGAGCCAGTCGCACGCGAAGCGTGCACACGCGAAGCTTGACACATTTTCCAATCAAAGTAGAGGTGACAAACCGTCGTTATTGAATACTACCGTGGTAGTTATTTGCAGCCGGTACGCAATTATTTCGGAGGAACCATCCTCAACATGTAACAACACTAGGATTCGGTCGCGCCTGGCATAGCATCGACGACTTATTGACGCGACTCTTGGCTGTGCTGTTTGCTGCAACGGGGCACATGTCCAGTTTTTAATGGCACAGAGGGTTAGGTTCGTGCCATCACTCTTTGATCGAGCGGTCGTTTTTCCACGTTAAACTATGCTAAATAGCGCTTTCCAAAACCCTCCCGATCATGGTGTCGCATGTTTGTTGCCCTTTGTATTCGGCCAACCTGCCGAACAGGCTGTTAGCATTCAAAATGCCGGACCATGCGCAGGAGACGGCTCGATAGGAATCGAAGCGTCTGGGTTGCGATCGACTGGAGCAAGTCAGCACGCGACAGGTACGCTCATGTCTGGGACAGCCACGCACACTATGCTTGCCAACTATTTACTTCTACTTCACCTAATTAGCTTGAGGCATTGTCTCGTAACATACAGGGGCATGCTATGGTTGACGCCTGGTGTCATCCCCCGGTGTCCGCCGGGAGTGATGCAAAGTGGATACATACTGCGGTGTTGAATGTATGCGCCCGAATCATTCCGTGCCATAGAGGTCGGTCGTGTCGCGCATGTTTCCAAAAGGAAAGTACAAGGTAAGGCACCAGTATCCCGCTATTGGCATCGAACATGTATGCACACCAAGATAGACCAGTTGTTAATGTTCTGGAATACCGAGATACCGATACAGAACTTCTGGAGAGCCCATCCTATGATTACCAGTAGCAGGCAGGCCACAAATGTTTTCCACAAAACGAGGCGACAAACGCATGTATACGGATTCGAACCCGTTAACATGCATGTGGCAACGCTCACCCACGGGGGATTCTACTCGCTGTGACAGTTTGCTATACTTGGTGCGTTACTGTCACCTTGCCTAAAATGCTTGCTCTCTGCATTCGGATGTGTACGCTTCAGATGCGGATGATGACCAAGGGTCTTCGGCAGCTCTGCAAGAAGGCAGTGACGGAGCAGGGGCAAAAAGTGCGTATCAGAGCGACGAATGCTCCCTTTAAGTCCACTGATCAAGCAGTAGCACCAGCATGTGTACAAAGACTTGACTTTCCTACTGCGGTGGATCGCTCAAATATTGGCAATCGAGGAAAGCAACATATCCTGTCCGATCGTAAGGTCAGCGCCGACCATCTCGATGTGCCAACGGGGTCGATGTGCTACCACTTCATTCCCTCGTGGTGCTCTGGTTGCCAGGGTATTCATATAGGCCAGAAGTATTTTCGAACGCGCCGGGGTTTGGTTAGTACTCATGCTGTCTCCCATTTGTTCTCGTTCGTTACTGCAACTAGCAGCAGGCAAGGGGGAGGAAGAAGAAGGAGGGGAAAGTGACGAGCCGGATCTGACCGCCAGTGCTGATCTGGAAGATAGCAGGTGATTCATGAGGGACGCCAACGGCACGGAGGTGGCATGATGTGGTGGTCACTTTTCGTGTGCTGAATTGCTGTGCTATGTATCAATTCCACAAGACGTTTGCAGCGAAACTAAAAGTTTGTGTCGAGCAATCTCAACCGCCCGAGGTGGGTGTTAATAGCAGCGTTCAGCGACAGGAGCCGAAGGCATCACGGTGGTACCAGTTTGTTGATGCAGACTGGCGGCGAGAGCTGCAGCGCGGGGGGTTTATTCGTGTTTGACGTGCATGTGATGGTGCAGGCACTGCTGTTTGCATCCACATAGTTGATGGGCAGGTGTCCTGTATTTTCGTGTCAGACGATGTACCATCCGCGGCAGAATCGCAGGCAGCTGCTGTTGTGGTGATTGGGTGTGTTCCCACGTCACCAGCGGGAGTGCGGCGAAATTCCAAGGCAACGGAAGTTGGAGACACTGGATGTTGGATTTGGCCAGCCTGTCTATCCCGTTCGCGGCGCTTTGTACGCGCACGTGTTGCGATGTCTCACGTGTGGTAATTTGCCCCTTGTGCGTGCGTTGTGGTCGCAGTGAGCTCTCGGCGTCAGACGAAGATAGTACCTGGATATCGTGGTTTGTGACACTCAGAGGCAACGAGTTCTTCTGCGAGGTGAAACTTCCCGCCAGCTCTGGCTGGATTAGCTTATTTAAGTTCAGATTCCACAGTCATCCGGATGTTGTGATGAGGCAGATCGCAGTACTTGTGTAGGAAAAGCCAGCAGGTGTAATCTGGTACAGTTCATTCTCTGACATCGTACCGTGCTCCTTTCGGCCATTTCTTGGGTGTTACACTGCGTGGATGCGATGCTATCAGCGCCTCCTGTCATTGTCACGGCTCTCGTATCGAAGAATAGCTAAAGCAGGGCTGTTGTGCATTGCATTCCGTTTGGTGCGCGTGTGGAAGGTTGACGAGGACTACATCCAGGACGACTTCAATCTCACGGGACTGTCGACGATGGTGCCATATTATGAGTATGCCCTCGACATGATCCTTGACGTCGAGATGCCTGCGGGTCAGACTCTCACAGAGGAGCAACAGGTGCAGTGCGTCTTGTTGTTCGTGGGCATATGGTACTATGTGAATTATTGATGTGTAGTTTGTACCGATGAACAAAACAGTTATTTTATCGTCGCTTCTATCATGCCGGCGACCACCATGCTCATTAAGTCACACGGACGGCTTTTGATTTGGTGTGGACCAGTGGAAGGGAATTCCGAAGTGTTGGATTGATTTTATACAGGTGTTACTGGGGCACTCACCATGTTTTTTTGTTGACAAAATCTCTACACACCCCAAAAATGACGAGTGTGCATATCCCGCGCTCGCAGAAAGGATGCCCGTCTCTGTCTGACTCTTGTCGTACGTGTTGCAACGGTCGCATCTTCCATGCCCGCTATCGATTGTGCGCCACGCGCCTTTGCAGGAGGTGGTCGAAAGCGCAGCAGAGATCCTGTATGGCCTCATCCACGCTCGTTACATCCTCACCAGTCGAGGGATGCAGGGAATGGTGAGCACACGACAATCCCGTGGCACGGTTGCGGGAAGGAGTGGTTCCTCTCCGCTGATACTTGTGGATGGATTGAATGACTGCACCGTTTTCTCGGACTCGTATTAAGCTGTGCCATCCCTGGCGCCATCCTCTCCTATTTTGATTTGCGTGTGTTTCCTCTTTGCCTCTTCTCCAGTTCGACAAGTTCCAAGTTGGCGCGTTTGGGCGGTGCCCAAGAGTGTACTGCCAAGGTCAAAACGTCCTTCCTGCGGGCCTTTCGGACGTCCCACGCAACTGCACGGTCGCAGTGTATTGCCCCAAGTGTCAGGTTAGTTATCCCCCATGGAACAGAACAGATTTTCTCATGCGGCAACTCTGCCGTCCCGTCCGGATGACTCTCTCGAGTGACTGGCACTTTGGAACTCGCAGTGGAATGTACGGTGCTTTTCCCCCCGAGACTCGCAGCAACCAGCTACCAGCTCAGGCTCGTCACTGTGGACAGAGACCATATGTGGTAAATTTCATCCCTAGGAAGCCGGGGTGATCGACTCATGTTCTGACGACGGTTTTCTCCTGTGTGCCGTGTGCTGTGTGTGCGCTATTTATTCCATAGGACATTTTTCACCCGAAGAGTACACGGCAGGCCAACATCGATGGGGCCTACTTCGGAACGACTTTCTCGCACCTTTTCCTTCTCGCGCATCCAGAGCTTATCCCATCAAGACCGAGCCAGGTGAGGCTTCGAGATCTTTCATGGGTCGAAACTCGTAGTTTTGCTGTAGTGGCGCTGGTCGTTGGTGGTGAGAGTTGCCAGCGCGTCGGTTTGCGAGAATACTGTTCCTGCGTGTTGGACAGGAGGTGCTGAGACATTTTGCGCAAGCCGCATCGTGTTACTCATCCTGTCTTGTACATTAATTTTCAATCGGTATTTTGTGGGTGTTTCTGTTGATAGCCTTGAATTGAAACCTGCTGACTTTTGGACGACGCAAACAATGCTCGGCGCCGTAACATGGACCGGATCACGTGATGCCCAAGGAAGTAGGACGCGATTGGTGGATACACAGGAGTCGGCTTGATGGCCGACGAGGGAAACGAATGCAGGATCGTTCCAGCGATTACTTGTATAGTAAATGAAAACAATCAAGGACGGTGAAGAACATTTTAGGGCACGTGCTGTCTTAGCCCGATTGGTGCACCCAAACATGCCGAAAAGGTGGAACATTGAACTCCAAATAGGGATAGGGAATGACAACAAACACACGCGCGTTTCGCTCACGGTGGGACCGGAAATGCATGTATGTATGGCCCTCTCTTGAGCACAGGCGTATTGCTCGAGGATATATGGCTTTAAGATCCACCCGACGAGCGCCTACCACCGGAACAACAAAGACCATTCAAACGGGGAGGGGGGAAGCGGGCGAGCATCTCGAAGGAAGAGCAGCAAAAAGGACAAGGCACGCCATTCCGGGCGTTAGGGCGCGCGGTACCATGGATCATCCTTGCATGCGCGGTCGGGTTCGGCGTTCATCCCCGGCGCCCTGTAGATTTCGTTGTTTTTCCGTTTTAATGGGAATGGGGCGTCCTATGAACACATAGAGATGTGTGTATCTCGTGGCAGGATGCTAATGCCAGCTGCTCGTGCCGTGATTTTGTTGTGCGATTCGCACGAAAATGGCAGCATCTACCAGCCCCATGAGCGCTTGTCATGCGCCACAAACTCTTCTGTCTGAAAGCGTGTGAACTTCCTCCTGTGCCTCGCCCCTCACCCCCCTTGGCCCACAGTAAGCGTATTTGATGGGAGCTCTCCCTCGCCATCTATCATTTCATATCGAGTAAAATATGTGTATGTACGATTAAGGCGCACCCAGGGAGGCGCCAATACAATTCGGGTCATGCGGGAGTAGTTCCCTTTGGCTGAGGAGTGGGCGTCGCTGTAGCAGTCGCTGCTGGTGGGGCGGTTGGCACGCTGTTTGAAAGAGCTTCGACGTACACTGCCCGCTTCTTGGGGTTGAGGAAATATTCCTTCATCCCCATCACTGGACAGACCGGTTACGTGGGGGCAGCAGGCAAGGACGGACATGAGCTAATTGGGGCTATTCGTTGTTGGCATTTTTGATTGATTGAACGTCAGGCAAGAAGTTGCGTCCTTCCTTGAGGGGAAGGAGCAACTGCCACAAAAACTATGTTTTATGTAGCATACATGTGCCCGCTTTGGTTTGCGTGCTGTATTGCCATCGACTATTTTTCCACGCCCCTGAGTAACATGGGACAGGGAAATGGGGTATCGATATGACCCCATTCCAATCAGGTGGCCTCTATTGCTGCCTCTAAACAACTATTGACAGCGAAGCGCGCGATTTCTGTGGTTGTTCAGGTCGGCCACTCGTGTGTTGACATCTGTTCCGAAAAACGTTACTGTGTTGACTGGAACAGATGTCGACCAACGGAATTTTTTTGTCAAGATACTGAGCGAGCGATCGGGTTTCATATTTAACTTGACAAAATCGTTCGACAGAAGTAACTGCGACCCTGTTTTTTATGCAAGCCGAATCAACCTGAACAAGGCTGTCTGCTTATTTTCTCGAGAATGACACCGACCCAACAGGGACTTGCAGGTTTACATGATCACGTAGATCACGTAGAACTCCGGTTCGACCCTAGACCAAACCTACTCCATGGGTATCGGACCCACAGCTTGTTAGAAAAATCAAGATTCTGTACCTGTTGGGACTAGCTTTCATGGGTTTGCTCCACCGATGGGTACTATCGTTACAGTAGTTCGATCAGATAAATGTATGATGCCCAACACGGCCATCTTTCGAAATGATCATGAGCTGCCTACCGAACGTGTATTTCATCATCACCTCGTCGTTAGGGACTGAAACCCAGCAGTCCGTCTAAACTCCGACCCAAGAGCAACGACCTGTAGTTGTGGATCAGTTTGTTCATACACCTATCGAAACATTGTCGATTAGCAATTCCGAAGCCTTTAGACTGTAAAGATTGGGTACTGATCAACGTTTGTCACTCACACATCGAAAGAACGGATAGGGATCGTGCCTGTCATGTAAGTTTTTGATTACCATTACAATAGAATGTGTTTTGAAAGGTGTGCTTCATCTATCGTAGCTGAGAAGCGGTGGGCGAGGGGATGCAGTGGATGGCTCAGGGACAGGGAAGGATGCATGAAACTTACCTTTTCTTATCTGTGCGTTCCGCTGTCTTTCCTTTCTTTTGGTCTCCTTTATCCTTTCCATTTCCTCCATGTGCTCCCTGTTCTCTCGCCAAAAGCCAAGCTCGTTCACCTGTCGGCGTTCACAGTTGTTATGTTTGGTCGGCTTGTTGATCGTGGCGTCTTTGAAACGCTCATGACAAAGGGCACAGCCTACATGTCGCGAAAACGAAGGTTGGGGCGATTCCAGTATCAGACCGCGAGTTCTACGAAATCACCGGATTGTTGTCGACTACTCAGACAACACCGAGCGCAAACCAAGCCCCCTGTGTAGTTTCATAGTTGATGGGCACGGTTGCTAGTTCTCTAGTCTTCTGGACGCAGACATACAGCAGTGTTGGGAACATTGCGGTTGACATAAACAGTTTCTAGCTGATCTATAATGTGCAGCATTTCGTCTCCTTACAACCCACGGTGGACACGATTACTGGGAAAAGCATACACAAACATCATCCCGAGGAGAGTGGAAACTGAACTTCATCCTGAGGATTACCACACTACCAGATATCACCGATTCGGCGTCGAAGCAGAAATTCCCATTTCTACCTGCCGGTGTGGGCGCTTTATATCTTGTTCCTGCTCTAGGTGCGCATCTGTACCACACGCACGTGGGAAGTGTCAACTGCTGTTGTGGAGGATTGGATTTTGTTAAACACCAGACTCGATGAGTACCTCGCCCATACCACCCTCTGAGTCGCGTGAAAATTCTGTAACATGTAATTTCTTCGCACTGCTTACGTGGATTTTTGATGCCAAAACGCCAGGCAGCCCCGAGTCTCACCTTGTTCTTCCACCATTTGTTCCCCAGGATAGCTCGTTGTGTCGATTGCTGCAGCCGAAATACGGGATAGAGAACTTGAGGAAAGTTCTTGTTCATGATCTGAGTGAGGGAGAAGAGGAAATGAACGAATGAAACTGCAGGTGGAGACTCGCGCAAAGTACGGTGCAAGTGTGGCTCACTGAAGGGAGGGGCGGGGGGGGGATGGGGCACACGAAAAAACGTGTTGGGTTTCGAAACTCATTTTGATTGACATTGACGATTGACATTGACGCACCAACGACACACCTTAAAACTATCGAATGGAAGTCTGCCATGCTCGTCCAGCTGCAAGTGTGACATGGCACCCTGGATGTTGTTTGTCACGTTGGAACTGTGAAGCACCTGGCGAGCAAATGACAATCAGTAGAGCATACCGTAATGTCACCCAAATGCGTTGTGCCGGTGTTCATCTTGTTTTTATCTGGTACCAAGTATTAGTGATTGGACACCTACACAAGGCTGCTCAATAGAGCAAGACGATAGAGCAAGCCCCTCCCACACGCTCATGCATAAATTCTGGCAGACTGTTGCAGAAGCGGTCTTCTCATTAGCAAGTGCAAGCATGTCACTGACTAGGGTACATTCACACTTGACCTTGATAAAATGATGAAGCTCTTCGATTTCCATGAGTCCGGATCGGTCCTTGTCGTACACCATGAAGCAAAACTTGAGCATGTCCGTCACGCAAAAACAGCAAAACGTGCAAACTGCCTGCACAAACTCTCTGCGTCATGTCCCACCCGAAAGGTAGGCGAACAATATCAAGGCACAAGAGCGGTTGTGAAGTGTAAGCAAGTCACAGCAGTCTGTCACGAACGAAAGGAAGGCAGTTCGAATGGTAGTCGTGGCCAGAACGTTGTGCTTGCTGAAACAACCACCATTATTTGTTTCAAAAACAACCACCTCTCGATTGCTTCACTGCGAAACCGCTACCAAAATAAATCGGACGACCACTGTGGGGTTCGCAACTTCTTGGAAATATTATCCAGAGCTTTTTGTGTTTGGTCTTGTGTTTTTGTCACTGCGCCCTTTCCGCAACATATTGCCACCACCGAAGGTTGGGTTTCTGTTCGAGTGTGTCGAGGAGGCTACATGCTGCGCTGATCGGACAACTGCGGGCTTCAACCCGGCCAATTGTGTACTTCAGCGTTGTTTCACCAGGGACACACATATGCGCCCTGAGAATGACGTTCTGTGCGTGCCCCCAAAAGATGTAGCTGCATTATGTACGCGTCATTATTCCGTGCGATCGGATTTTCGGTATTCTTGAGCAGCAGCAGTATTTGTAGCACTTGAAACTTTCAATAATCTCTCAAAAGGGCAGTCTAGTCCAGATACCTGGTCTATGCTAGTACATCATACGTTTCATGGAAGAAGTGAAGCATGAAACAAACGACGGTCAACACACACACCGACTTACCCAAATTCTAAAGTCTCTTCGTCTTCAGGGTCGACGAGCGTAAATATCGCGTTTCCAAACTCGTTCCTTTCCTCCTGGATGATGCCCTCGAAAAAAGCTTGTCTGCTTATTAAGCCTTCGCGTCTGATTCACCACGAAAACAACAGAAGATAGATTTCATACGTGTAGAGATTGTAGCCTACATAGCTGTGGACTGCAATACAAGGAAATTTCATCTTCTCCACTTGTATTATCTCTTTCCGGGGCTAGGTGGAACCTTGCTGCTTTCCTGTGCTCTCTCTTGTTTAGCTCTCTGATCGTCTTGCATATAGAGTCCAGGATCCAACACACACAAGACCAGCTCAATTGCAGCAAAGAGCTAATCGCGCACTGAAAAAGAAGAGCACAAGATTCAGAATGACTTGCATCCCACCATGACGTCGTAACACATGACAATGATGGGCGGACAACAAACGTCAAATATCCATGGTAACACACCATCACATGGATGGCTACCTCCAAACAGCAATACAGCAGTACGTCTGCCTGCCGTTTGTTTTCTGTGTTTGTCGTCGTTGTTGTCTTCACACAAACAACTTTTCTGGTCTCTGCCCAGTACGAGCCTACGTGCGGTGAAATGCGGTTCGGAGGAAATGCATACCCGAAATCAATAGCCTTATCGGCTACGGCGCCCTTGGGTCGAAATCACTTGGTCAACTATTTGCAATGCGCGGTGGACCTGGTTGATGTACATAGAGGGCACCTCTTTTGTATGGACCTGCTCGCGGTGTACAGCTGTATCAAACCCGCGCTACAGCAACAATAGATGGACTGGTTACTGAGTCACAGCGGCCCCATCAAGTTGTCCATGCTTGGAATGTGTAGCACGCGATGATCACTGCAGCACCTACCTGCTGGTCTGTCTGTCCGTGCTCGACCCCGCGAAGGGGGCTGCTGTCTGGCTGAGCATGTTTGCACTGTACATAGCCTAGATACCAAGAGAGCCACAATTTCCACACTCACTTGAGATCAAATTGCTTGAAGACCTCCCACAAGGCTTCGATGTTCTCGTTCGTGACTGCGGGAGAGAGGAACCAGCGCTGCATGTCAACAAAGCCCGCCGTGCTTCATTCCTCAATTCAAATAAATGCATACGCATACGACTTTCTATGTCACGCTACATGTAATCAATACTAAGATATGTCACCACATGCAAATCGAACAAGGCTCACGCATGAAGAGCTCCTTGCACCGTGCGACTCTCTCTCCTGAAGGTGGTGGGGGTCCGGGGATTTTATTGCCCATGTCGTATGTAGTGGGTCATCATATAGAGCCCCAAACTGCTCCTGCGCCACAAAGCTCCTCCACAACAACGGCGTACGTGCGTGCGCGCCTCTCTTGCTTAGTGAGGAGGGCGGGAATCCTTAAAATCCAGCCGGAATGCCCTCCAGGATCTCTCGCACTACGTTAGAGCATTAGAGTTGATATACCAGGCAGCAGAGATTGATTTACAGGCAGCAGAAATTTACACTAATTGTAGTGTTGTAGTCTACACATCATCGTGAAGCGGCATCGATTCCGCCGCATTGAGAACCTTCTTTCTTTGTAATGTTCTTCTCTGTGCCCTCGCGCCCTCTCCCGTGGTACCCGCGTACACCTGTTCTCTTTCTTTGTGCGCGCCAGTTCACCTCGCGCTACCCAAAGCAGCAGGTTTCTTCTTTATACCACCAAAAAACTCGAAATGGAAGCCAAAGAACATCGACAAATGGACGAGGATCGTGGTGAGGGTATCAACAGCAGTATGTATGAAGCACGGCCGTATCCAGCAATTGGTATCCAACGAGGATTCGATTGACGCCCGAAGGAGCGGTAGGCATAGTCTAAACCCTCCGAGATTAGTGTATCCGTGTCCACTGGCGTGTTCTCTCGACCGTCAGAGATTAGAAATCCTCTTGAATCGGTACGGGACAACATACAGCAGTTGAAAAGACTCGCTCGCGTCGAGTGTCGAAGATATGTGTATCTAGCTTCTGTCGCTGTTAGACCCTTCATAGCTCTACTACCGAACTCCAGCATGCAGCAGTTGCCAGGAGCATTTAAGTTCATGGGGAGCTTGCAGAAGTAGTTCTACGGTAACACCTTGTTGTAAGAGCACACATTAGACTAAAAGGCAATATCCACCCTTTGTCATGTCCGGTCAGTGGTAACTGGCACATTTCATTGTGGATAAAGAAGCTGCACCTAGCACTTTTTTCTTCTGTTGTAACTCACACTACGGCTGATAAGGTACTGGCCCGCCTTTGTTTGCAGGGAGTGGTCGGAAGACAGATGAAGAAGACGACGTCGTAGCGTTTGTCGGGTCGCCACGGTTTACACGGAATGCCGAAATGAAGTCCACCGGCAAAGGGCTCTACCTCGACACAAACCTTGTGCGAGGAAGTGTATCGCGTGAGGTTCAAGATGTGCATGCCGACAACGGGTTTCAAAGACAGGTTGCTGTCGTCACGGTGAGAGTACGTGAGAAGGACAATAGGATTCGCCTCGTATCGCACGTTACGGCGCACAGAAGATCCGTATTACACACTCCATGTACCTGTGTACTGAAGTATCTGTTTGATTCCATGGAACATCGATCACGTGGACGATTATCTAGTTGCAGAGAATTGTAGCTACATGTACGTACCGCAGCCGAATTTGGAAGGCCACACCTACAAGCCCTTATTGTTAGTTCAAGACTATACTCCATATGTTTGCGCAAGTATCGCGCACAACCTTGAACCGCAAATGACCATGGTCATCAATGCAAACAGGTTGTTTTCGACCTACCGGACGGCAGTCAAGCAGACCAAGAGGTGAGGCATGTGGGGTAAAGGCGTCTGGAGGAAAAATCACGATGCTTGTTGGGGGGGCGGGGCGGGGTGGTGCTCAGACGTACGTGCTCACGTGTGCGGGCCGAGGGAGGGCATGGTGTTGCACTGCGCAGACATAAGTACACATTTGTACGAGACAAGTTTCGACACTCAAATTTGCGAATCATCATGGGGCACTCTGTAGGGTGTCAGGGCCTGAAAATGTTGTCCCTGATCTCCTGTGATGGTTGACCTCGAATCCTTTGCTTACGCTCCGTCCTGTTCTTTACCCAAGTTTCAACTGGGACAAACCGTTGAAGTGCTCAAGAGCTTTGTGGAGTCGGAGTTTGGAATACCCATGTCTTGTCAGGTACGACATTGCGGTGGGTTGAGTCCGACGATTAAAACACAAAATCATACGCTCGTTTGAAGTAGCTTCTAAACAGTGGAACAAAAAAGAAACTGCCTCAACTAGACTGCGTACCCCACATGTGCAAACACTGCCCCTCTTGCGTCGTATTGCAGGAGCTATACCTGGGAACTGTGTTGATGATGGACCCAATGACTCTCTTGGACTATCCGGAGATTGATGGCGCTGGGGATGTTTTGATCGTAGTTGAAGGAGAAATGAACGAGGACATGAAAAAGTAAAAGCATACCTCGTGGTTAGACCGGGTCTTATCCTGCGCTTCACGAAGTGCCGTGAGCTATATTGATGGTTGCAGACTTTCCATTTTATGAACCACATCATAATTCAAGATTGCAATGTGTGTGTACCAGTCCTTGAGGAAGAGCCATCATCGATCAAGGCAAGCACCTCTCTTGAGCCAAGCCGCTCGGTTCACTGGCCAATAACGCGCCCTGGCGCAGCCTATCACGTTCCGAACCGGGAGTGGGCCCCACACGTGAGAATCAAAACTCGCATCTCGATTGTCTCCAAGCACAATGATGTGGTCCTTCGGCACCACGGTTGGCCCAAAAGAATAGCTGGCCCGCGCGGAGCGTTGACGTTCGTCCGCTGGACTCTCATTCACGTAGAGCACGCCTCTTCTGACAGCAACATGGTCTCCTGCTACGGCCACCACACGCTGTCATAGTGGAGTGGGTAGGAAAACAGACATGTGAAAGACGTCCAGGTGAAGCTTCGCTTCTGAGCATAAGCTGGAGGTTTTTCGGGGTGTGGGTTCATAGACAACACGTGTGTGTATCTTATCCCAAAACTACCAAATATATCATGAAGCACTACGTAACGGTCGGTTGTGATATTGTAGTTCCACGTCAGGGAATGAAGTCCCATTGCTGCAAAACAAATGCGATATTCAAACAACGCTATTCGTGCAGATGGAACGCAGTCATGATCACCTTTGTAAAGTCCAACGATGAGTTTAGCGGGCTCCGCCTACGCTCGCACCGTGTCAGCGACAGAATGTGTCCTTTTCTTCTGTCCCCGACTGGGTTTGGTGTGGCGGTCGTTGCCCCACTTGCTAATCGAAGGAGCTCAGCGTACATATTTCTGAACAATGCAGGTCGTGGTCGCGATTTGGTGGTATGCAGAACCAGCAGGAGCAGCAAGTAGTTAGTTCAGGCCGGAACTGGATGAAAGGGGTAAGTTGTCCACACCAGCGTGTGATTGAAACGAACCCTTCCTACGCCCACGACGACGTTTTTGGGATCTTGGCATGCTTTACAACCGAGTCGAGTCGAGGGATGTACGCAATACATTGATCACCTAGCTCCCAATAAAAAAACCACGCACAAACCACCACGTTGAAAGGCAACGTTCGTACTGCTCTAGATTGCATAAGATATCACACCCTCGGGACCGAAAATCGGAGCTCAACTCTTCTACAGCAGAAGCAGGGACGGTGCCAAATTGCGGCATCGAAGCCTGCCCTTCGAGAAATTTCTGAAAATGTATCATTTGATTTTGACTTCTCAGTCGTGGAGGAATCGAGCTTTACAAATCGGTCCAGGGGGTGTGGTATCTTATGCAACCCATGCATACGGTATTGGTTAAGTCCAGGTACCTGGAGGCTTCTGGCGGTGAGAAGATCACGATATCGCCACGGCGTAGACCCAAACCCGGTGGTCGACCAGGTAGCTTCCCCAAAATTATAGATGCCTACGAAATGCGATGTGCATAGCACAGCAGCAGGCTGAAATGAGGAGTAGGCATCGACGAAGTTTAGACAACATTTCATGATTCCGAAAATTAATTATCGTACCATGTATCTGTCGGCCTTGCGTGATCACCGGGATTCAAAGTCAGGCTGACTGGTTGGTCGCCTGTTACGTCTACAGGTTCTGTAGAGTGAGCGTAAGGTAGAGACTATATTTGCCATTTTCTTTCGTCATTGACAAAACCCCTTAGGTGAGTCTTTCGGGGCATGTTTCGCGACCTACTCTCGTTCGTTGTCCTTAACACCCCTTGCTAAGTGCCCGAATAGTCATCTGCATATATGCTTGTACTACGACAGCGCTGACTCACGTGTAGGCTATCCTGCCGAAACAACCAGCTTGTCTGCTCAAGTACAGTTTGTCGCGGTGTTTATTTGAGGTCTCTCGTGTGGCCGTGTTCAGTCTGCTGGCCCCCTTTTGAAACTTGGCTCATTTTGAGTTTGTTTAAGCCTACACACTAAATGGAATCAGTGATGCCAGCCGGTGCTAAGAAAAAAGCATCTGTATAGGTGGATACATTCTGTAACACATCCCCTGTAGTTCTCTACTGGGTCAACGACAGAAATATCGGGGAGGATGGTCGTGTGCGAAAAATGTGGTTTTCACAGGGAACACGGCGCAGTGTCGTTTTTTGACATCGTGCTGATTTATTTACTATTTTGAACCTATTTGAATCTACACAGACTAAATAGGAGCTTAATTTTTTTAACATAACATAACAGAGGAGTTGCAGGTTCGAGCTGCTGTTTCCCGCTCATTTTGAAATCTATGATGTGATATTGATCACCTTATGTGATGAGTGTGAACAGGTGAAACGCATTCGAGGGGAGTGGGATAATAGTCTGGCAGGTAGGAGGGTGATAGCAGTTACATAGTTTGTATCAAATGGAGATCAGTCCTTTGTGTGGAATGGAGCACAGCGAAGCAAAAAAAAAGGGCGGCGGCAGCATGAACGGCAGCAACAGCAAGCAGAGTTTTTCTATCTCGTGATAGGCAGGTTTTGTACAACCCTCCGCAGCTTCACTGCACTTGTGTGATGCTCTTGGACAGAACAGCTACAAGACGAGTAACAAGCACTCAACACGCATGTTGAAACAAGGCATGATACAGTTTTTGCTCATGCTACTCACGTACTCTCACACGCGGGCGCGCACCTTGTCCACCAGCACCCGATCACCAAATGCCAACGCGGGCTGCATAGAGCAGGACATAACCTGCCGGAAACAAAAAATACGGACGGTGTGTGATGTTTGGAGAACGTCGACGAACAATCTAGCTATCCGGTTGAGCTAAGCGAACGGTACGTTCGCCGTGCGATCAATGGCACTTCGTGCCAACCTCGCAACTGGAAATTCCGGAATTTGCAATGTACAAGGCAGTCCACGGCTACCTGAGATTGGTGTGAACTGCTACAAAGTTCACACAAAGAAGTGACGTTGGCACTACACGAGCACGATTATCATTGAGCCAAGCACAAAAGCGCTTACCAAACACAATACTTGGTATTCTACAAGTATTTGAACCCTTGTGCGTCCATCTAGGACACACAACAGAAGGTCTGTTCTTTCCAGTGAAACAGCTGCCGCTCACCGTCCTCTGGTCGACCACACACATTCTCGTTGCTGCACACAACACCAGCGCAGCCGTCAAAGATCTAGCTTCACTGTATGATGACGCAGTTAACATTGCTTTAATCCGCCTTATCAGCGCTCCCACCATGTTTTCAAGTAGCAGCGTAGCACAGCAGCACTGTCTGTGTGCTCGCCAATGTGCGGGCTCATCCTCTCTACCCCCGAGCGGGCACTACGGGTTTCATCTGAACCCTGGAGGCGTGACGGTTCGACCCTTTACCTTTAGAGTCCCAGCGACGTGCCCGTCACTATCCAGCCCCCAGCTACCCAGCTGCCCAGCTGCTTATCTCTATGCCCCCTCTGCTCTCACCTCTCACTCTCGCACTCACACCTTGTTGTGCAGTCCTTCCTGCACAAGACCACACGCCAGGTGAGTTTGTATGTCGGTATTTTCCGTATGTACCAGACAAGGCAGAGACTTAACCCCTTTGGGTCTAGATCGCCTTTCGGGGACACTTTTTGTCCCCATCTTCTTCACCTGCTTTACCTCGCGAAGAATGACACGATTGTCTCCTCCTTTGAATTACTCGACCAGGGGGGTGCCAGGGTACACGGGGACGGCTCTAGTTTAGTATGGATGCTTTGAAGAGTGGAGGAGTATGAGGGTAATGAACAGGTCGAATCGGGGGGCGATTACGCCGCGGGTTCAACAGCGAAGGTGCGCCGCGTCTGTCTACCCTTGGGTGGAAACCGCTACTAGGTGCAAGCGCGGAACGAGTACCTAGCCCACCGTTTATAGGAGGCACTGGGCAACCTAGGGCTTGGGTTAGAAGGTCTCGCTTTCCCTCTAGAGAAATATCTTGACACCTCATTTTCGTGCCCCGTTTACCACCCTCCCGCCAGTTGCTCTCTATATCCTTATCAAATGTCCCCTCGATTCGAGGGGACATTTATCGAGGGGACATTTGATAGGGATTACGGACAAGAGACGGCTTAAGTGGGAAGGCAGCTTTGCACTTGCACCCAGAGATGGAACTGTCTGCACCATCCAATCAACAGGCGTCGTTCGCTCTTTTTCTTACATTTTAGAAATTTCGAAAAAACGCCGAATTTTCTGTGCGTGGTAAGGCCCATGTTTATGGTTTCCAAATCTTTATCTTCCTTTCTTTGGACAAATGTTGGCTTTTTCGACCTTGTGGGCAGTCTGCTTCCCGAACTAATGCGAATCAGCTGTTCGACCTTTGAGAACAGTCACAGCTTTGCCTGAGATGCATACAGACCGCCTATTTGTTTCGCCAGGGTCCAGGTTTGATTTTTTCAAGATGCGCAATTTTCACGCAAGACTTTTCCAACACCAGCTTTTGGACAGATCTTGGCCCAAGATTTGCTCCGAGGTGGCCTTTCGGCCGNATTCCACATGCGCAGTTTTCACGCAAGATTTTTCTAACACCAGCTTTTGGACAGGTCTTGGCCCAAGATTTGCTCCGAGGTGGCCTTTCGGCCGAATCTTCAACATCTTGCTCTGCTGGAAAAAAATCAAACGTGGACCCTGGCGAAACAAGTAGGCGGTCTGTATGCATCTCAGGCAAAGCTGTGACTATTCTCGAAAGGTCGAACAGCTGATTCGCACTCGTTCGGGAGGCAGACTGCCCAAAAGGTCGAAAAAGTCAACATTTGTCGAACGAAAGGAAGATAAAGATTTGGAAGCCATAAACATGGGCCTAAGTGGACTCGTTTGGATGTGTACCTACATACAGACGACGGATTCGGGATGAGTATGATAGTGCCATTCCACTGTATGTCGATGCCAGAGCTGCTGAGTGCTCTGGTGTGCAAGCAAAGAAGTGTATTCTACGGGTGACGCAGCAGTTTTGTGGACAGCGAGAAGTGATGCATGGATTACCTACTGCTGTAGATGAGGTATCGGGTAGCACGAAGGTTAAACATGGAAGGTTGCAGTACACGTGACAATCCATCGCGGAACACGATAGGTGTACACACACAACCGACAATGTTGGTATAAACACCGGTCGCCCCGGTGGTCTAGTGGGTAGCCTCGCAGCCTGCCAAAGGCCAATGGGTTCGAGTCCCGGCAGAGGGAGTTTTTTTCTCACAAAATAAATCCTGGTCTAGGATGAGAGCGATGCGCTGCAAAGCTCGTTTGTTAGTAAACCATGATCGACTTCGTAAGTTGCGAGAGAAGGGATTGCTGTACCCTTCTCGCGATAAAAATACCTCAGGCAGGAACCGCAGGAGGGGGTCCAGCCCCCTCCCTCCTATGCCCCCTCCAATGTGACCCCGGTTGGGTCGTCTAGCTGGTAGAAGTGGAGAATAGGGGCCAGAGGGGCAGACGACAGAGTCGAATGATGGGAGAAAAAAAAAATATATATATATATTATGCGTCGTAGGTGGTCTGTTTGTATTGCCAACACTGTCCAGAACCACCGGCAGTACATACCGCTGAAGGATTAAGGGTTCAAACAACTCAGTTTTCCCTCCATCTGTGCAGAGCGATTCACTGGGACCTGCCGGGCAGTAGTCCTGATGACTGACACCATTGCGGGCCCCGACCGCAATGACTGCGTGCGTGGAACAAAGCGCGGAAACATCGATATCCCCCAACACTCTCTGTACTCGAGACACAAATGTTTCCATCTTTGTGAGGGACGAAAACATTTTGGATACTGCTGTAGTAGAGCGAGCGGTACAGTAGAGCGAGCGGTACAGTAGAGCGAGCGGTACAGTAGAGCGAGCGGCAGCATGGCTGATGCGGTGAGTGGAGAGATACACAGCAGGGGTTGGCGGTTGGACTCGAAGCGCTTGGTTTATATGGCAATGATGATGACTTCCGGTATGAAGTCATTTCTCTTGTTTCCCGTCATACCTCGTTGCAAATGCTGTGCTGGCCTTTTTCTCTGTGGTCTGACTGATCTCGCTCTTATTGTTGTGGATCAGTTTTGAGAAGTCCTGTTTGCCCTCGGTTCCACAGGACATGAAATCGACGAGCTCCGGGGGGTTTACGGAAGATGACCAAGCCAGAATCGCCGAAGAAGTTCTAGGCCGCGTCGGCTCGAAGCGGACAGGCCTGGGCTTTAGTGGTGGGGGGGGGCAAGCATTAAAGGCAACAACATCCTCTGCCAGCTCGGGCTGGTTTCAACAGCACGCGGAATCTGCAAGCAGAGATGAATATGTCGCAACCGAACCTAGGGACACGACGGAAGGTCCGTTCGCATGGGATGGAGGGCAACGAGACAAGGCCAGGGGTGCGGGTAACAATAAGGAGAGTGGGAAAAGCAGCGGCGTGGCTCCTCATCGAGAAGCCGAGAGCGATCGTCCCGCGGAGCGTTCTTTTCCAATGGTACGGGATCGAGATATCGAAAGGCTACAGGGAGTACGCCATCGTCAGAAGAGGACCAGGACCAGGAGCCACAGCAGAAGCCGGAGCAGGAGTAGGGACCGGGGACGGGAAAGAGGTGGGCGAAGGACTCGTCGGAGCAGAAGTAGGAGTCGAGAGCGGCGAGAGGCGGAGAGGGGACAAGAGCGCCAACGCGAGAGGGAGAGAATGCGGCAGAGAGAGGGAGAAAGAGCAAGGCAAAGAGAGGCAGATAAAGAGCGATATCGGAGGAACAGAAGGTCGCGCAGTCCCGACACATCGAACAGATGCAGACATGCTGACAGAGAGAAAACTCACCCCAAACAGGCTGGTAAGGTGTCGCTCCCCACGGCAGAGCACGCGAAAGCGGCAGTCAAACGACAACTTCGAAAAGCTGCGGTTCAAGACGCAACACTTAAAACCGGAGCGAAATCCACCGTCGGAGGGGCTGCAGGCTGGGAGCGACCAGAGATGTCTATGACTTCCGACTTTTTTACCCGTGACGAGATCGCGTCAAAAGGCGGAGTTGCATCTGTAGCTCCCGAATATGAAGCTAGGCTAGCGGAAATCCTTGCGGTCGAGGATGAAGACGTCATGTGCCTACATCAGAGGGTACAACCTGCGGCTACCGGCGGAGGATTCGACCCCAGCACACAGAAACACCACGATGCTATATTTGCACCCACAGGGTCGACGGTTTCCGAAGCCGTTGATTCTACCCCTGCAACCGTGCTGAGTACGGCAAGTATTCGGTCAGCCGGGGTATCGGGAGGTGCTGCAAGGGCTCGTGCTGTGCTGACGGGCAAGCTCCGCGAAGAATCGACGGCTAGTCCCAAATCAGCGCCGACGGCGAAGCCGAAGAAGATTGTGCAGGACAAACAGCTTCGCGACGATGACAGCGACCAGCCTTTGTTTAAGACGCTTCGGGTATGTACTACGCATATTTTCTTTTGAATGGCCAACGTGTCGGGTTCGCGACGGTGCAATCAATGCACGTGAAACTCCAATTCAACGGACCTGCACTGCTCAAGCCCGCCGCTACCGACGATAACAATTTGCAGCCCCTGAGGGCACGTGCCACATAGCTTTGATACCGTTCTATTCTCAGTCTTTGTTCTTGCCTTTCTGCGACAGGCGGGAGAAACTGTAGAAGCTAAGTGGACGGCAGATGACAAGTGGTACAACGCACGGGTTGTGCAAAGCATCCATACAGGATTCGAAATTGCCAGGTAACACGCGGTCCTGTACATCTCGCCTGCAGTATATGTTTTTTATGAGTAGAAGTGCCTTCGTTTTTGCCGTACACTTGTGAAAGTCGGCATACCATGTAGCATTTGTACATGCGTCGTCTACTCCATCGTGTGTCCATTCGTGTATCGCTTACTTAGGTACAAAGTCCGCTACACGGAGTACGGCAATGAAGAAACGATCTCGTGGACAAGGATTAGACGGCCAACTGGCGCAGACGCTCCTTCCCCGCTACCCAAATCTGCGGAAATGGAGACAACACCAGACGAGGAGACACAGGAACCTGCGAACGATGTGCCTCCACCATTTGCTGGAATGCGGCCACGGGCGTTGTGCGTCGAACAGCAGGTTCCCCCGGAAACAAGTTTGGGAGATGAGCCGGCTAAAGTGGCGGATGTCGTTAACCCTGCCTTAAGATCAGGAACCTCTGGACGAAAACTGTCGTGGAAGGAGAAATTGGCGGCCCGAACTACCCCACGGGTAGATCTCGACCAAAAGAAAGAAATCTCCCTTGTTCCCGATTTTGC